AAAGAAAAATTATTAGATATATATCTTATTAAGCTATACATACCTATTGATTTAATGATATCACTATTAGTTATCAATTAATTTATACTCTACAATAATAAAAAACCGTAAATTTAATAACAATGTAATTAGTAATTAGTCAAGTGTTTTGAAGGTTTTTATAAATTCAACAGTAGATTATTAATAATGACATAAGCTCGTTAATTTTTAGTTCTTTGTCTTAAACATTCCTCTTACGTATCCAAAGACTTGAAGGTACGTACATAGTCGGCTTTTACAGCCAGCTATCAATTATTTCCACTCTAATTGTCACGGAAGATTTTTTTATTCAGTTTTGATTTCAGCAACTTCATTTTGAAATGCTTAAAAACATCGTTGATATCAATTAGTGCATCCTGGCACCATTGATAATTAACGCGTTTCGTTAAAAACTAAAATGTGAGGATTTTATATAATCCAGTTATTATTCATTAATTTCTATACAAGGTGATCGGTTTGAATCTATAGGCTATAGAGCTAATAAGGACTCATCAATTGAAGAAGATGCACAATTCCACATTCCTTCTTGCTCTTTATATTTTGATTATAAATAAATTTACGAATCATTAAGGCTATGACAGCAAATTTAAAGAGATTTCTTGAGAATTATAAACTTGTCTCCTTGTCTGACATTCCGTACGTTTTCAGTGTTATAGGCAATTCTTAAAGAAACCAATTTCGATAGTAATTATTGTAATTAAACGATTAATATGCATGTGTAACTACTTTATCGTCTATGTGTAATATTTTGACCACCTGTTAAGCCAAATCATAATCATGATCTATTTAGAAATTTAACAGAGCATAGAAGACAACCCTGCAATTAACCTTTCACCCCAAAAATATGTGTACAATGGTGTATTATTATAATTATTAATTAGAACAAAAAAAAAATGGTTCATGCCTGTTATATAAAAAAAAACTGAATCGAACATTAACATCATTTCTTAATAACCGTGTTCGTGGCCTAATATTTTTTTTTCAAAACTGTTGCTGAAAGAAGTTCTAATTATGCTATTGTCGTTGATTTAATGTTCGATTTCTTCACCAACGGACGGAATTGAGATATCACTCGCTATATCTCTATTAATATATCACAATTGACCTTGGGATAATTAGAATTTGAAAGAATGGTCGGTAACGCAGAAAGTTTCTCAGGTGTTTTGTATACAAAGTGATTATTTAAGAATATTTAATTGTGAACTAATATTAACGAAATCTGAAGATGAAAAATACACCAGTGTTTGAGTGGCGGAACTGGGAAGAAACCAAAACTATGTATTAGAGAGGGACTTGGCTATTAGATTTAATTATAAGATGTTTAAGGTTTGGCTAGTGCCCTCAGTCTTAAAAAGTATGCTATAATTTTAATAATAATATCGATTCCCACCGTTGGCCGGGATTTTTTCATTTAATTAAATTATTTAAAATTAATTTTGATGCCTTGGTAGGATTCCCCACTCGACCATTCACTGTTGGGTACTAATTAACAGTGCTGTTCCTAAAGTGGCGCTGGGAAATAGTAACAAAGCCTACAAAGAACATGAGGCTAATAACCGTAGCAGTTGATGCCGATGACAAAAAAAAATAATGTATGTTTATAGATTTAGCAGAAAACTGGACCACGATATGTAATTGTGGATTAAGCGACATTTACGTGTTTTCGAAAAACAGAAATAGAAGGCTTCTTATTTTTGTTAAATTAGCCAAAAGTTATAGTTAATAACTCACAACTTTGTTAAGTAAAATAGGGAATTTTAACTAACACTAAGTTTTATTAGAGGATTACACCATTTACTCGACTTTTGTAAAATTTTGCATTATACGGTCCAACTTTTCCCGTGTATAAAAAAACATTGGAACACACTAATAGATTACAACGTGCACGTCGTTAACAACAATATCTGAATACTATGCATTTATTTTGATTTATTTTGATTTATATTGATTTATATTGATTTATATTGATTTATATTGATTTATATTGATTTATATTGATTTATATTGATTTATATTGATTTATATTGATTTATATTGATTTATATTGATTTATATTGATTTATATTGATTTATATTGATTTATATTGATTTATATTAATTTATATATATTTATATTGATTTATATTGATTTATTTTGATTTATTTTGATTTATTTTGATTTATTTTAATTTATTTTGATTTATTTTGATTTATTTTGATTTATTTTGATTTATTTTGATTTATTTTGATTTATTTTGATTTATTTTGATTTATTTTGATTTATTTTGATTTATTTTGATTTATTTTGATTTATTTTGATTTATTTTGATTTATTTTGATTTATTTTGATTTATATTGATTTATATTGATTTATATTAATTTATATATATTTATATTGATTTATATTGATTTATTTTGATTTATTTTGATTTATTTTGATTTATTTTGATTTATTTTGATTTATTTTGATTTATTTTGATTTATTTTGATTTATTTTGATTTATTTTGATTTATTTTGATTTATTTTGATTTATTTTGATTTATTTTGATTTATTTTGATTTATTTTGATTTATTTTGATTTATTTTGATTTATTTTGATTTATTTTGATTTATTTTGATTTATTTTGATTTATTTTGATTTATTTTGATTTATTTTGATTTATTTTGATTTATTTTGATTTATTTTGATTTATTTTGATTTATTTTGATTTATTTTGATTTATTTTGATTTATTTTGATTTATTTTGATTTATTTTGATTTATTTTGATTTATTTTGATTTATTTTGATTTATTTTGATTTATTTTGATTTATTTTGATTTATTTTGATTTATTTTGATTTATTTTGATTTATTTTGATTTATTTTGATTTATTTTGATTTATTTTGATTTATTTTGATTTATTTTGATTTATTTTGATTTATTTTGATTTATTTTGATTTATTTTTATTTATTTTTATTTATTTTGATTTATTTTGATTTATTTTGATTTATTTTGATTTATTTTGATTTATTTTGATTTATTTTGATTTATTTTGATTTATTTTGATTTATTTTGATTTATTTTGATTTATTTTGATTTATTTTGATTTATTTTGATTTATTTTGATTTATTTTGATTTATTTTGATTTATTTTGATTTATTTTGATTTATTTTGATTTATTTTGATTTATTTTGATTTATTTTGATTTATTTGATTTATTTTGATTTATTTTGATTTATTTTGATTTATTTTGATTTATTTTGATTTATTTTGATTTATTTTGATTTATTTTGATTTATTTTGATTTATTTTGATTTATTTTGATTTATATTGATTTATATTGATTTATATTGATTTATATTAATTTATATATATTTATATTGATTTATATTGATTTATTTTGATTTATTTTGATTTATTTTGATTTATTTTGATTTATTTTGATTTATTTTGATTTATTTTGATTTATTTTGATTTATTTTGATTTATTTTGATTTATTTTGATTTATTTTGATTTATTTTGATTTATTTTGATTATTTTGATTTATTTTGATTTATTTTGATTTATTTTGATTTATTTTGATTTATTTTGATTTATTTTGATTTATTTTGATTTATTTTGATTTATTTTGATTTATTTTGATTTATTTTGATTTATTTTGATTTATTTTGATTTATTTTGATTTATTTTGATTTATTTTGATTTATTTTGATTTATTTTGATTTATTTTGATTTATTTTGATTTATTTTGATTTATTTTGATTTATTTTGATTTATTTTGATTTATTTTGATTTATTTTGATTTATTTTGATTTATTTTGATTTATTTTGATTTATTTTGATTTATTTTGATTTATTTTGATTTATTTTGATTTATTTTGATTTATTTTGATTTATTTTGATTTATTTTGATTTATTTTGATTTATTTTGATTTATTTTGATAATAATAAGTCACAACTACTAAATCATTTAAACCCCCTCCCGTCATCGCCATGCTTTTCACTCTCGTATATCCGGCAAGTGTGTTTTTATAATGAATTATGTCAAATTTGTTATACTCAACTGTCTATTCTCAAAAGACATACATATTTATACCGCCAACATTGCAATATAATTTTTGCGGTTTATGACTCCCCTAATCTATGGGTTTATAGATCTGGGCCAAAGTCTGGGACATACCAGAGTTTGGCGTTTATTATGAAATAAAATTAATAAAGATTATAAAGTATACTCTCTAAAACAAAAAAAATTTCTATTTTTATCTCAATTCATGGAAGGTATCTATATTTTTCTCATTTAAATGCCTATTTATTAATAATCATTTATTACAAGTATTTAATGTAAACAAAACATTGGTGTGATTATTATTATTATGTAAAATTCTATAATTTAATACGTGGTATGTCATAAATTTGAATAATAATATGCATCGTTAATAAGTAAACCACGCATTATGCGCAAGCATTTATTTACAAGAACTTAATTTTGTAATAAAAACAAATAACCAAGGTTACAGGAAAACATATTATTTATATCTGGAAATCTAGATACTTACTAAGTATATTGAAATTTAACATAAAAATTGTGATAATAAATGAAAATGAGAAAATGGCTGATTACAAACAAATTTAATTTAAATCTTGAAAATTAAATAGTGATAGAGATTTCAAAAAATAGGTAATCTTGGTTAATATCCCATTTTGCGAGGGCCGGAGAGATCCGTTTAAAAATTATTGTCTTATTGTCTAAAATCCTGTTTTCGGCCCTAACAATTCATCCGTGATTTAATTGGCCACAAATTGTATACAGACACGTACTAATACGTCTCAAAGTTCCATCTTTGATATCCTAAGCCGTTTTCGCAAAAGGATACGTTAAAATGAAGACTTTTAGGGTCATTGTACCTTGAAATAATAATCACAATTTTATTTTTGTCGCATTTGCATTTTTATCTTTTTTTCAAATATTCAACCTTTAATTTATTAGGAATACTCACATTAAAATTTTTCCTGCCTCTTTGCTCCTGTAGATGTCACACTCGTGCAAAGGACGCGAGGGATCATTGGGCGAGTACTGACCTGCGGCGATACACAGAGATCTGTAGATTTGGAATTGAAGAATGGTGCTAACGAAGTATCTGAAACAAAATTCACAACTAAATACACTAAATAAATAACAAGTAATTTTAAAAAGCCGACTCCAAAATCGTGCAGATGCCTTCACTAATGTTTGCTGATTTTCTTATAAGTACCATCATTAGAGCTTAACCAATTTTATATGGGACCACCCCTGAGGTACCCCCTTCTTAATAAACAAAGAATCATAGAAAAACGTGATAAATAATTATTGCTGAACATACATAAAAAAATATTTTGACGAGTTCAGAACCTTCTCTTTTTTTTAAGGTTAAAAACAAAAACAAAAAAAGAATTGTAAATCCGTTTGTTGACAAAGAATATAAAAATTAAAAAAAAATTCACATAAGTTAAATCGAGTGGTAAAATACTAAAGATTTAAGTGTACAAAAAAGAAAATTTACAAGAATATAATAATAAAAGGATTTCTCGAGTATGTATAAGGATGTACGAGGATTTATCGAGGATGGGCACAAATTAAATAAAAGGACACTGTAGGATGGATTGAAGTTTGAGTTTAAAAGTTGGTAAGTTGGTAAGTTGGTGTTTTTCTCTTTATCCGTTTTTGAATTCTCTTCAAAATTCGAAATTTGCCCTTTTCCTCAAATATTTCGAATATGGTCCATTTTAGGTAACTTATGTATTGAGCAAGAATTATAGAGAATGACGAAGCCACTTTTATTTGAATAATTTGCACTTTTTGTCAAAATTCTCGAATGCAAACCATTTTAGGAAAGTATGTATAAGACAAAAATTATAAAGAATAACATTGCAAGAAACTTGTATTTAAAAAAAAATTTCTCCAAGCGTAAATAACAGATTTAGTTCATAAAGTAGAAAACGGCCCTCTATAGAGTACACAGAAAAAAATTATCATCTACATTCAAGAAAAGCTTTACACTTGGAAGATATCATTTGTTTGAAATAAAGTAGAGTTTGCTTCAAATATTTAGTGAAGTTGTAGGCATAATCTTGTATTTTAAGATTTATAATATTTAATCTCAGAATAAATTATTTCATTCGAGTCTAGAATTATTAATCCAAGAAAGCTCTTACGTTTATTGTAAGTATGATATGCTCTTAAAACCGACTATGTTATAAAAGGATTCGATTCAAAGCATTTAAATTTCAATACCAGAATTAAACAATTCGAATCAAAAATCTATATACTTCACAAAAGATAAGCAAGTACAAATTCACTGCACGGTGTTTCCAGCTGTAACTTATTTTAAAATGCCCACCACTGCACTGATAGGTAAATATATGATTGGTACATGTTGAGATGTGATAGTTATTATTCGGAAGTCAGAGACACAACGCATTTATAGAGAATCTGGCAAATTGGCATTAACACGTGTCCTATTGTCCATTTTCTAACAAGTTTGCATCGTATCGTTGGGGTTACGTTCTACTTTTTGTTAGAAATTCTTTGTGATTCAATTAATAAGTGTATGAAGAAATTAAATTAAAATGGAAGATTTGTTAGATGGATGGGGCCAGCGACCTGATACCAATATTTAAATGTAAGTATATTTAGTTCACTTCTTGTTAGGTATTATATTATATATAAGTAAATTTATAATCATAAGAACACGAATCAAAAAATGTATGATGCTGGATGACGACTTTTTGGAAAGCCGACTTCTGCCTTGCTAAGAAAATTACGATTTCAAGATTCTTACAAATTTAATGAGCTTACATTTTATTTTATTGTGACACAAAATAATAAAGGCCTACTTGCATTAGAAAATATTTACTATAATTATAAGGAAAGGTTAGTAAATTATGCAAAACTTATTTGCGAAGTCTAAAAGGACGTAATTATCTACCTACCCACATTTACTAAAAATATTCATTTTGTAGATACGACCTCTTAGCAAGACAAACTTTTATGTTCCATTGAGGTTTTGTAGTTATAATTTATTTTTTTTTTTTTTAATTATAGGTGGGACACTTCAGAGGACACAGGAATTTGGTACATTAACTAAAACCAATTTTGAAAAATGTTTTTCGGTGGATAGGTACCAGTGAGAACCCCATTAAAAAGCAAGGTATTATTGAATATAAATAAAGTATATTTAAAAAAAAAGTAAGACTATTTCATTTAAGATGTACATTTCTTGGAACAGTTCATATTATTATTGTAACAAATTTAGTTGTATTGGATATAAGAACAAGGTATTATTGAATATAAATTAAGTACATATATTTAAAAAAAGTGTAAGATTATTACATTTAAGATGTACCTACATAATACTGCAATTCATTAAATTAGAGGTATTTTAGTTAGGGCAAGTTGATTTTATTCTTGAAGCAAGGCTTATTAGCATTGTTGAACAAGTATTACTACAGTTTCAAATCGAGACGAGTTTTACTTGCGGATATACAAACACAACAAAACATTGAAATAAGACCATTCATCTTGAATATAGTACACCTTTTTTTCTGTGTACCCCGCAGATGTTCCGACTATGCCCAAAATCTTTCCTTATCCCTATACAGACAGAAAAATAAAAATTATGAGAATCAAAGACATAAATATAAAAAGAAACAATAAGGCGCAACGAATGATATAATCTGTATTAGCATGTCATGTCAAAATCCGACCAATACTAACGAACTTAGACGTTAACGCCCTCTTACAATACTTCTTCGCATGCTTTTTGTCGTTTTTTATTACATCTATATTCTATATGATTTTACTTTCTTATTTTTACCCTGGAGTTACTAAAAATATTAAATAACCTAATAACATAATAGCCAGAGGCGTAATTAGCCATCTGACCTTGGGAAGGGGGGCTAGGGTGGGCCTGTTATTGTGAATTAGAATCTTTAAAAAATTAAAACAAATGTTGACTCTAAAAGGTAAAATTACCAAATTTTTTGATAAAATCGTTTTAATATTTTTAAAAAATTACAAAGTTATTTTTAATATACATAACTAAACAAATAAAAACTGAAAAATATATAAGGTGTACAGTAAATTTAACCACAGCTTCTGGGGTCGATTTAAGATAACTTGCTTACATAAAAAAGGGAATGTAAAAAAGTTATAGTGTTAAAATAGAAATTTTAGAAGTGATTATGTGCTCGTACTCTTAAACGAGTTAGTATACAGTGACCAACAAAATAAAGCTAGTGGCGTTTATAATTGTTTTAATCTTTTTTTGGTAGGTTCTTGGGTTATTAGGTGACTGTTGATTGTTTCTGGATATACTATAAATGAAAGTCACGTATTTTTAGTTCATAGATTTCGGCACTAATCAGTGCCTTCTACAGTAATATGTATTTACTTGAATAATGTTTTCTTTTATTAACATTTTTGTTTGTATATTTTACATCTTTGGTTTAGTTTTACAGTACCTAAAAGAAATTTTTTATTTTTATTTATAAGTTCATGTCTACTATTATTTTTTTTTAAGCTTACCTTGGGTACTACGAGGGTCATTCAATAAGTAAAGAGACAAATTCTATAATTTTAAAACTATTGATTGAATGTGTACAATCTGTTTAGGGGTGTTAGTTTGGAACCTTGGGATATGCTGTTTCATCATTTTATGTCAACATAACCTCAAAATGTTCAATTCACCATGGCAAGTCCACTAGAAGATTGCACCTTAGAAGAGCAGCGCTCAGTCATTAGATTTTTAGTCGCAGAAGGTGTAAAACCAAGTGAATTTTTTTTTCTAGAATGTTGATACAGTACGGTAAAAGTTGTATGAACCGTGCGAATTTTTACAAGTGGGTTGATCGGTTTAAAATTGGCCGAACAAGTGTAGCTGACCATCTTTTGGGACTCACAGGGTCCAGTCTATTGCGATTTCCTTGAAAATCAGCGAACTATTAATAGCCAATACTATTCTGAGATGCTGGAACGCAAAGTTAGACCAGCTATCAGAAGCAAACCCCGTGGACTCTTGTCAAACGGAGCCATTCTTCAGCACGATAACGCCCTCCCTCATACAGCCCAACTGACCCGTGATAAGCTTCAAGAATTGGGTTGGGAGGTCTTACCTCATCCTGCCTACAGTCCCGACCTCGCCCCATCTGATTTTTACCTGTTTGGACCACTCAAAGACGCCCTACGTAGAAAAAGATTTGCTAACAATGAGGAAGTTAAGGAAGCGGTGCAAAAGTGGCTTCGGGGAATTAGAAAGCTGCAAGAAAGATGGGACAAGTGCATAATTGTGGGGGGTGATTATGTTGAAAACTAGTCTTAATTTAGAAAGATTGAAACAAACCGGTTTTGAGCTATAGCCATTTGTCTCTTTACTTATTGAATGACCCTCGTACAATTATGGGGTGTGTCTTCTTAACTTTAACACCTTGTAAGCCTTTTACTAGCCATTTTTTATGGAAGCAAGTTAGCTTAATCTACTTATTTTTGACCCCAGAAACTCTGGTTAAATTTAATGTACATATTTTTGTTACACCCTGTATAAAATAAAAAACTTGGTATATTAGACAAACGACAAAAAAGTCCCGCATGGATTTTATAAAATAAGCTTTAAATTAACTTTAATTGGCTCATAGAACTTTCATAAAAAATCAAAGTCGGCCTTTTCCTCGGGGGAGGGAGTTGCTTGCTTCCTTAGGCTCCTCTAGGCTTCCCAAGGCCCCCCTCTAGTTACACGCCTGATAATAGCTATCTATGAAAAGTTACGAAATTATTTATTTTACGTAACGAGTGAATATTAGCGGGACGAGCAACATGTTACATACAATATTTTTTCTAATTTTGACTGTATTATTTATAAAATTGTGTTTGGTAAAAAGTTACTGACATCTAGGCAACCATTATTACTACTTTCTGGTATTATTAGTTGCATTTGATTAACTTCATTCTTTTATTGACAAATAGAAAATCATATTCATTTGTTCTCAACGACTTATTGTAGGTAGTGGGTTTATATTTCTTGTTAAAGTTATTTAGATTTCAAAAAAGTAGGTTATTTTGTCGTGTATTGTGTTTGAATTACTTTGTGCTGATTTATAATGGAAA